TAGGGAAAAATTAAGTAGGGAAGGGAGAGATGGGACCCAGGGAAGCATGAACAGTTATTCCACGTTAAAAATCATTTTTCTATTCTAAGGGCACATTTAACCTGCATCGTGAAAAGGCCCCAATAGAGCAAGGAATTCTGTTTTTAAGGGGCTCATCTGGCACCTGAAAACCATTTCTGCTGAAGAGCTACCTGCACAGGTGTGTGCTGAGGCGTACGGTCTGGTAGGCTGAGGGGCACAGGTATTGGAGCGCCTTGCTGGGGATCATGTGATGTCACCCCCCTGTCCAGTTGTAACTAAAGGTCTTTTTTGTTTCTCAATTTTCTGCTTTAAAAAAAAAAAAACTGGTTATACACATGGAGAAAAATAACTGGCAATGTTGAATTAACAAAAAATACAGAGTGCGCTCTAAGTAGCACTGAGAAAGTGATCCCCAGGGGAAGTGACCTTGAACTCTGGACTTTCCCTGCAAACAGAGGGGAAGGGAGGCGGTGAGCAGAGTGTGTAAGAAGCAGGGACAGGGACCGTGGTAGAGTTCATGGGACGCAGGAAGAAGGCTCCTGGCAGGTGTGTGGCTGGCTCCCCCTGTCTCTGGTGGTGCAGAGGCCACAGCTGTGGCCAGGACCCAGGCTTGGTGAAAAGGTGCAGCTCCTTGAATGTGCCGTAGTGGGCGAGAGGGAGCATCTGGAAAACAGCTGAGAACGGCAGTCTGGCTGTGAGGTTGGGGTGGACCGTGGCTGGAATGGAGTGACCATCTTGAAGCTCGGGAAAGCGGAGGGTGGAGACCAGGACCGAGTGGGGCGCAGCCCTGAGAAGGCACAAGTGCCGCCATCGCTGTTCTATCGCTGACTCTGTTGGTGCCTGAAGTTTAAGAGTCCAAGGATGCCGTCAGCAGTTCCTGTAGTGAACCAGCTCCGCACCCCACCACACAGGACAGGGTCACTCTTCCTTCAGATCAGCACCTGGTCACCTCCAGTACATATGGTCAGAAGCAAGAGGACCTCTAGGCCAGGATGGTGCTAGTATTGAGCACAGGGGCCTCTCTTTCTCCCCAGGGAAACCAGAGGTGGCCTTCTGCTCAGGAAGGAGGTGGACATGCAGCATCGGGTGGGGGTTCCCAGGGTCTGGGAGGGTGGGGGCAGGGGCAGGAGTCCCTGGGGACAGGGTTACAGTTAGAAGGGTCTACTCACAGAAGGAGGACTGCTGTCGATTCCATCTGGAATGTCCCTCAAAGGCTCATGTGGTGAAGACTTCAATCTCATCTGGTGCCACTCTTGGGAGGTGATGGAAACTTCAGGAAGCAGAACTTAGTTGGAGGAAGTGGGGGTCTCTCTCGTCCCCTCTCTTTGTCTCCTTCCTGGCCACCATGGGGCGGCAGCCTTTTCTCCACCACGCACATCCACCACGATGTGCCTCCTCTTTGTAGGCCCATAGTGACAGGGTCAGGTGACGAGGGACTGACACCTCCAAACAAGAAGCCGAGATAACCCTTTCCTCCTCTGGGTTTATTTTCTCAGGTATTTTTGTCACAGCAACCAAAAGCTTATAAACACAGTGACTGTCAACAGTATATTGGACATTTTAAAATAAGGGGGTTTTGAAAGTTTTCACCACAAACATATGATAACTGACGTGGATATGCCAATTACCTGGATTTGATCAGTGCACATTTTATACATGTATCAAAACATCACACCATGCCACGTATATTATTAGAAATGAAATAAACAAAACCAAAATAAGCTATAAAGGACTTGTACCTCAGAGGGCCTCTAGAGGACCCCAGGACCTTGTTACAACCTGCTCTGCCTTCTGTCAATACCCTTGAACATGAGATTCAGGCCACATTACCAGCAGAGATGTAGCTATTACTAATAAACCAGTGAACTTTCAAAGAAAATGTAATTCCAATTTATATCGATTAAGAGATGGTTGTTAGCATTTCATTTAAAATATTGTTCCTTTAAAAAGTTATTTAGTTGGAGCTCTTAGTGGATTAAAGATACCTGAAGAGGGACGTGGGGACCTGGAGGGGTATGAGCAGTTAGGGACAGTTACACAGCAAGGGGCATATGAGGTACTTCTGTAAGGATGGGTGAGAGTGGTCAGGGGTGTGGGGGAGGCCACAGGGGGCGTGAAGTGAGCTGAGGACAGGGGGTGGTGTCCATGGCAGCCCTGGTGATGTCCAGAGAGCCGTGGATGGGATGCCCGGAGTGAGACTCATGGCAGGGGGCACAGGCAGCCTGGAGGGCGGGACAGTCTGTGCAGCACAGGAGTGAGGCCGTGGGAGAAGTGTCGTGGTCAGGGTGTGTGGGGTCAGTGGTGAAGGTCAGCAGCTGCAGGTGAAGCCGTTGTCATGGTGCAGGGTGAGGACCATGCACCACAGCCCTTGGGAGTCACTCCTGGGAGAATGCAAGACGGCAGAAGGTCCCCTGTGTCCCTTGCTGGGCACTGCCAGGGGATCCACATACGGGCAGGAAGCAGATGGACGCTGTGGCCTCCCCAAGATGGCGGGAACAGCAGCACAGCAGGCGCCTGAGAGGAGCAGGACCCTGTCAGCCTGCAGGGTGAAAGGAGGTAGGAGGGACAGTCCAGGCCCTACAGGCCCAGCACCCCTGGCCAGAAAAGTGTGGAGTGTGAGAAGAGAGGACGTAGGGGTGGGGCCAAGCCTGCGGCAGACACCATGGCGAGAGAACCAGGGGGGACTCAGAATAGATGCACCTCCCAAAAGACACTCGGCTTCACCAGAGACGTCCCCTCCTTAAGAGCACCCTCAAACTAAGAACAAGTTAGACCGTGCTTTAGAAAACACAAGCTCTGAGAGGAATTCTTAGAAACTTGTCGGACGAAGAAAAAATAGACATTAACGGTCAAATGCTATGAAAAGCAAGCAAAAAAATGACTGTGCATCTTATCACACTGGACCACACCCCCGTCTTTGCAGGGCCACTCAGAGTGAGGATACGGTCCAGAGAAAATTCAGTGACCTGCATCAGGTGGGCATTCCTGTGCTGTGCAGCCACTTCTAGGACAATTCACATCCGAAGGGGTTGTTTCATATGATCACGTGGGGGCTGTGCTATGTATCACGTGGGGTGTGTGTGGGTATATGTGATGTTGTAGGTGGATATGATGTGGCATGTGGTGCAGGCATGTACATGTGATGTAGGGTTTGTATGATGTATGTATGGTGTGTATATAGTTGTTATGTGTGTAGTATGTGTGGTATATGTGTATGTGATGTGTATATATGCGGTATGTGGGATGTGATGTGTGTGGTATGTGTGTAATTGTGCCGCGTGGAGCATGTTTGGTGATGAGTGGTGTGTATGGTGTTTGTGTTGTATGTATGTTGTATGATGTGTGTATGTAAGACACATGTATGCATGATGTGTGATTGTGATATGTATGTTGTGTGAATGATGGTTGATGTGTATATGTGTGTGGTATATTGTGTTGTAGGTGTGGTGTGTTGTCTGTTATGTGTGTGAAGTATGTGATATGTATATGATGTGTGTATGTTGTGTGGTGAATATGTGATATGTGGCGTGTTTATGGAGTGTGTATGATGTGGGGGTGGTGTATGGGTGATGTGCATGACATGCGTGTTGTGTTTGTGGGTTGTGTGTGGGTTTGGTGTGTTTGTAGGGTACCTGTGGATGTGATGCAGTGTGTATGTTGTATGTGTGTGTATGATGTGTGTGTGGTATGTTGTGTATGCCTGAGGTGTTCGGGGAGTCTGGAGAACATGAAGGGGCCAGTGCTTTCTCCCCAGATGAACAGTGAGGCCATCTGGATGATTTCCTTCCATGACCAGTCCCTTTAGGTTAAAATACACACCTCTGTGGATACCTCCTGGACATCTCATTTACAAAGCTCCATGTTAAAACTGCATCTGCACCAGGTACAGCAGCGAATGCCTGGAATCGTAGTGGCTCAGGAGGCTGAGGCAGGAGGGTTGCAAATTCAAAGCCAACCTCAGAAATTTAGCGAGTCCCTGAGCAACTCCGAGACCCTGTCTCTAAAACCCAGTGAAGTGTTGGGGAGGCGGCTCAGTGGTTGAGCACCCTTGGATTCGATCCCTGGTATCAATCAATCAATCAATCAATCACCTTTGTCTGCAGCTCCATTTCCCCTCTGCAGTGTGCGCTGGCACCTGGCGGGCAGTACCTTCCTGCTCGGGTGTCCTTGTAGCTGTGAGTCTGCGCTATCTATCACCCACGCATTGGAGGCGCCCTGGTCACCTGGGAAGCGGTGTCACAGAGGGAGGCGGTGGAGTGGAGTGGAGTCGGGTCGGGGCATACTGTCCCCACGCTCAAGCAAACTGCAGGAGGATGTGGCTTGGGTGCCTCAGGCAGCTTCTGTCTGGTCTCCACCCCAGACCACGGGTGGGGAGGCCTGTGGTGACAGAAGGGGACAGTGTTCCATGGTCACAGATGAGGCCCCCACGGCTGCTCTCTGGATTTCAACTCCCCCAGTGGCTACCTGGAGGCGTCTCTGTAGTTTAGATACAGAGGAAAGGAGTTCAATAGCACCTTCACGGGCAACGCGTCCTGCGAGGGGCAAGTTTTCTCAAAAATCGTCACCATCTCCAAAGCAACCCTGGCTTTAAGCTTGTGTTGGTCTCTGCTCCTGGGTGCTGCCGTCCACCCACACGGGGAGTTCCTGAGCCTGTTTTGCAATAACACTTCTGTGTACTTCTCTTTTTAGTAGGTTTATTTTTAAAATTTTTGTCCCCCACCAAAAAAAAAAAAAAAGTGAATTTGGTCACTTTGGCCAAAGGCTGTGATTTGGGTTGATTATGCAGAGGGCGGGTTGGGAAACCGTAAGTTGTGTGAGCAGAAATGACAGTGCATGATGGGAAGTCCAAAGAGGGAAGCACTTCCATTCTGAGCTGGGAGGATCTGTCTCCACCTGGCAAGGGTTCAGAGGGATTTAGCCCACATTTCTTGCAGCTTGAGTTGCTCACTGAAGTCTTCTCATCTTTGTCTTGTCCCCAGGTGTTTCCCTGCCTGTGCCCTGTCACTTCCTGAGGAGACAGCGCAGGCATGGCCAACAGCCCAACAGAGAGCGCCAACCACCTGCCCTTCTTTTTTGGCAACATCACTCGGGAGGAGGCCGAAGATTACCTGGTCCAGGGGGGCATGACAGATGGGCTCTACCTGCTGCGTCAGAGTCGCAATTACCTGGGTGGCTTTGCCCTGTCGGTGGCTCACGGCAGGAAGGCACACCACTATACCATCGAGAGGGAGATCAATGGCACCTATGCCATCTCAGGTGGCAGGAACCACAGCAGCCCTGCTGACCTCTGCCAGTACCACTCCCAGGAATCCGATGGCCTCATCTGCCTTCTCAAAAAACCCTTCAACCGACCCCCTGGAGTGCAGCCCAAGACAGGGCCCTTCGAGGACCTGAAGGAAAACCTCATCAGAGAATATGTAAAGCAGACATGGAACCTTCAGGTGGGTCTCAGTTGGACCTGCACCCTGTGTTCATGGGAACCTGGGACCCCACACAGATGTCCCCATGACATACAAACCTAGTGTGCCCAAATGAGCACCCAACTCCTTAACCATTAATTTTAGCCAAAAAGCGACTGACTCTAGGAAGATTACCATTCCTCCTTTATACCCACCGCTGAGGCAGGGAAACTTCATGCCAGGGATGTGGCTTTCTGCACTACAGGAGATGTTGCCACCAACTTCATGGTGGGACTTTCCAAAGAGACATTGATATTTACCTAACAGGGTCATGCCATGCATAACGATTGGCCCTTGAATTTACAGCTTCTTAATATCTCTTGCTCAGTGTTCTGTCTCACACACATAGGTGCACCACCGTTTCTTTGGCTGCCTGGCATTGTCCACTGGGCACGATAATTTATTTGACTAGTATCCACTGATGAACCCTTTTATCAATTATAAATACTGCTGCCAATGATATCACTCTATGCTAATACTAAGCTGGACTGCAGTATCTCTGGTATAAAGCCTAAGAGTCAAGGTTTGCCACGGCAGAGGATGCTTGTGTTTAATTTGGACACGTGAACAAAAGTTTGCCTCTGGAAAGTTGGCAAAGGTGTCCACGTTCTTACCTACCCTCCCTGCTCTTCTCAGCTACACATTTGGGGTGGTTTTATTTTTATTTTTACTTCTTGGGTTTTTCTTGATTAATGCAAATTCAAACACTGGCTTCTTCGTTAGTAACTCTTGAAAAGATCGGTTTCCTTCCCACCAAGAAGGACAAAGTAGTTGATTCACTAAGCGCTCGGCCCAGTTTTCCATCTTTGATCTCCATCTCGCTTTGCCCACAGGGGTAAGAGTTTTAAACCTGTGCTTTCTGTGATGACGCTTCCTGCAGGCACAGGGTCAGTGAGGTGCTCAGTGTAACTAGGTAAAGGGGACAGGACACCTCAGGTGCCTTCCTTGTTCACCTCTTAGGGCTTCTTGACCTAAGACCTTCTTGGAATAACCAGGTTCTGTCATAGAACTAAGTGTCTACCTACTGGATGATTTGGTTTTCTGGGCCTCAGTGTTTATACCAGGTAGTATTCAACGTTTTGTCTGATTTCGAAAATGCCAAACTCTTTCTTCCAAAACATCTTTCTTATTTATACACTTGAAGGTATTTAAGTCACCATCAAGATCCTACAGTTCGTTTTTTTCTGAATGAATGAATGAATGGATGGATGAAATCTGATCCTCCTTGGTCACATTAGAGCTCACCAAACATCAGACATGGATTTTGTGATTTTTTTTTTCCATTTCTACCTGGTCTTGCTCATTCTCTCCCCCTGGTCACACAGGGCCAGGCTCTGGAACAGGCCATTATCAGTCAGAAGCCCCAGCTGGAGAAGCTGATCGCCACCACAGCCCATGAAAAAATGCCCTGGTTCCATGGGAACATCTCTCGGGATGAATCTGAACAGATTGTCCTGATAGGATCAAAGACCAATGGAAAATTCTTGTAAGTATTATGTCTTTTCCCCCCACCTTCTACCTCTGGGCTTGCTTGGACAATTAAGGGGAACTCGGCTTCCCCGTGAGTAGACTCCATGTGACCCCAGGAAGGGGTCACATGTTTTCATCTGATGACGCACGTGCTGTCCTGTCCTAAGGACACTACATATTTAAACGATTAACCATGATCCAGTGGGTTTTGCCTAGTGTGTCCCTGAAGTGCACACTCTTCTTGGGTGTAGAGGGACTCCATGTTTAAAGACAATGGCATTCAGCCACATACAGTTGAATAATCCTTTTCCAAAATGCTTGGGACCAGAACTGCCTTGGATTTCTGATATTTTTTTTCTAATTTTGGAAATATCTTGGGAAATACACATTGTGTAAGGCTGTATAAGAGAATTTCATATGGTGTCTTCGGTGCACCCGTTTTGACCCATTACGTAAGACCAGGTGTGAAATCTTCCACTTCTGGTAACATGTTCAAGCTCCCAAGTTTCAGATTTTGGAACATTTCAGATTTTCAGCTCAGAGAGGATCAACCTGAATTCCACTTTTCATGGCAAATATGGGGAGCACAGACACTGTCTGTGATCATCGAACAGAAAGGCAAACACAAATTTGTTCCTTCAGATCTCCCACCCCCAACCTCAGACTGGACTTCTATTTTTTTCTTGGAACTAAGTGCTAGCAGGGTAGATTTTTTTTCTTTTTTTGTTTTCAAAAAGATTCCTGGGAGTCGTTTATATAAACAGTGACTATAGCTATTTAATCAGAATGGGTTTGTGGACTTCAGCTTTATAATCTCAAACACCAGAAGGTATGAATCCTGGGTTCTGTTGCTCGTTGTCTTTATTGGGTCAGTGTAAACCTGAATTTGAGAAGGTCCTGGGAGGAGTGGGCCAGCTGGCTGGAGTCATGGTCCAGAAAAGGTTGAGAGCTGTTTTGGGGTGAAAGCACCTGTCTCCCAAGGTGCTCTGGCAAGATGAAAGGGCAGATGGTTGCTGGCAGAGAGAAGGCTCATGTGCATTTGTCATAACTCAGTGTTCCCAACAGAGATGCTTCCAGGGGACCACAGAGGACCCCATTCTTGCCTCAGAAACTGAACCGGAAACAGTGAGGTAATCTAGTGGTCAGGCACATTGATGAATACCGGGCAGACTCTGTCAACTTTTTCTAGAAACAGAAGTGTATTCCCTGAGTATCCACCTATTTAAAGAATTTTTCTCATAGTTCTGATTTTTTAAAATGATTTTAAACACAAACTTAAAAAAATAAAAAAGTAGCCCGGGTTGAGATGCATGATGTCAGGTTGTGACTTTCAGGGTGATGCAGCCCCAGCCGCTGACACTGATGATATACAGAAGAAACGGTGTTTGCCCTCCATGCAGACACCTAGAAGCTCATTTTCTCCAGGTTTGGACTTCTTCCATTTCCTCAGCAATAATTTCCAACACACATGTCACAGGACTGCACTCTTCATGTATTGAGTGCCCGAGGGACAAGACCCAGAGACAAGGCCTTCTGGCTCTTTGCTAAAAGGACCTGTTCTTAGACTCTTTGGGAAATAACCATGGAGCAGATTTTTATTTCTCAAAGTTACCTGTTGCTGAAAAAAGTGTTTGCACCCTTCTTGGGCCCAAGTTCTGTTCTCACCTTCTTTCTTCAAGGCCATGTATGAACTTCATGCAGACGACAGGGGACCCAGTGTGCATCCTTGTCTGTCTGCTGCACAGACTGACATCCCATGCACCCTCATGTTCCTGGGGTTCACGATTAATACAGGAGAGTCTCAAAACTACTGTGCATCTGTATCAGCTGGTGTTAGAGCTCATGCAGTGCAGGGGCCCAGGGGTGAGGGACCTGGTGTCCATTCACACTTTCAAAGTCCCCCCAGTCCACTCTATGACTGGGTTCTTTTTTGAGAGGGGGGTGGGTACCGGAGATTGAAACAGAGGCTCTTAACCATTGAACCATATCCCCATCCCTTTTTCACATTTTGTTTTAAGACAGAAACTTGCTGAGTTGTTTAGGGCCTTGCTAAATTGCTGAGGCCGGCTTTGAACTCGCTATCCTCCTACCTTCCTGCCTCAGCCTCCCGAGTCATTAGGATTACAGGTGTGTGCCACCGCAGCCAGCTATGGACTGGGTTCTTGCTCTGCCTTACACTGTAATCTCCAATCTCTTGGATGCTACCTTGCTTGTTGCCCACACCCCAGCCCCCACTCCTTCCTGGCGCTGCCAAACATGCTGGGTTGCCCACCATCAGCACCCTTCAGTTCAGGCCTTGTGTCAGGGAGGTTACTAGTGAGAGGCAGGAGCCCATGGTGGAGCTGGAGAGTCCCCACTTCACAACCAAGGTTCCAATGCCAATTGCAGGACCTCGGACTAAGGGATAACCTTCCTGAGGCTCAGCTTGTCTGGGTCTGGGGTCAGTGGTGATGTTGCCTACTGTTGCCTTGCAGATTCAATGAAAACACATGCCAAGCTCACAGCAGGGCGTGGACTCTGGGTCCATACTCGTCTGCGTTTTTCTCTCTCCACTAACTTTTAGTGTTCCTTCTCCAACATTAGCACCAGGAAATTCTCTTCACTAGGAACCTTCATGGTTATTTGTCACAGATAAAATATAAAGAGGCATCCTAGAACCTTTACTGCTTGAAGATCTTATTTATGACAATGAATCCTCCTGCAATACAATACCTAAGTGGGGTGCTTGGTGGAGACCAAGCACATTTCTGCGGGACAGTGGTATACAGTGCTTGCGTGTCTGAATGTGGGCTCGTGTACTTTTGTAGACTGTGAAGTTTCTAGCGTCCTGATTTTGGCCCAGATCCTCCTTGTGTCTGGCATGGAGCAGGGTCTACGTCAACAAATGTGATGATTCTCCCAAGTTCAGGTTGCCCCCTCGCTGGTCCGGATTCCTTCACCTAGACAAGTGTCCGCTGGTGTTTATTTCGTGGGAAGTAGAGCTAACAGACTCCAGTGACTCTTATGAGCCAGCAGCAGATCTTGAGGCTGCACATCTGCCATGAGTACTTCTGTCTTCAGTCTATGACAGGCATCTGTCCTACCTACCCCTGTGAGGATGCACCACGGTTGCAGGAGATCCCAAGCCTGGTTTTGAGTGATTCAGATCTGACCTGTCCTAAGATGTTCCTTCCTTCCAACAAATAGCCATGGCACAGGGTTTTTGAAGTCACAACCTTGATTCCAGTCACGGCTGGGCATCCCACTTAGAAAAGGGGGATGTCACCAAGCTGTTGGTTTCTTTCTCCTAGTCCTTCACAAGCCTTTATTTACATTTTCCCAAAGAAGGTGGCTTGTATCTCCTCTCCTGTTATTTTATCTGCTCATCTACCCATGAACCAACATTACTGGAGTCTGTAGTTCTGTAAAGCACCAAATACTGGGTGCCCTGAGGGGTTCTGCCGTGGGAGAACTCAGCCCTGCAAGTATCTGCCTTTGTGGAGCCAGCTTCTTTAGTGAGAGATACTGAACAGTTAGAAGTGCTCGCTACGGTCATCACTCCACATCCATGGGGGGATTTCTTCCAGGATCCCTTTCAGATACCAAAATCCACCAGTGCATGAGTCTCTTGTATAAAATGGTGCACTATCTGCACATAACCTGTGCCCATCTTCCCAGATACTCTAAATCCTCTTTACATAGCTTGTAACACCTAATGTAATGTGAATCTTGTGGAAAGAGTTGTCATTCTATGTTATTTAGGAAATAATGACAAGAACAAAGTCAGTGCATGCTCAGTACAGACTGATTTTTTGTGTGTGTTTTAAATAATTCAGTTTCCCAGTTGGTTGAACGAGTATTGGATGTGGAACCTGTGAATATGGAGAGCTGACAGTCTGTTGGGGGCACATAGCTAGGGTCCTGTTTTATGCCAGGTGGTGAGGGAGGGCCTCACTGTGAAGGAGAGACCTGTGGCCATAAGGATGCATCCCACCTGAGCTCTTGTGAGTGCCTCGAGGCAGGGGTGCGCTTGAGGGCTGGGCCCCCATGGGAGGCCAGCGTAGGTGGTGCAGAGGGAGTAGGGTAGGGGTGGAGGAGGAGGGATAACCTGGATAACTTAATAATAACTCAGGCATTGGTAGGCTCTGCTCCTGGTGAGTTGGTGGGGCCACCTTTGGGATAGTTAGGGCTAGATGCACCAGGTGTACAGGGTGGTCTTTCTGCCTCTCATATCCCTAACAGGCTCTGGAGAGAAAGGGGGCCCACCCTTCAGAGCCAGGCCGTGCACATTCATGCATGCTGGAACAGTGGGGCAGAGTTTATTTTTTACTGTGACCTTGGGGTCTTTGCCTTCTCATGCCTGAGCACAGGAGCTGTGTTTAATGCTTGTGGGAAGACAGGGTGGCATGTGCCGAGCTCTGCTGCAGAGTCCCCAGGGCACAGTGCAGAATGTCCCTGGTGCCCCATGTTCTGTGTCTGGGCTTCCAGCTCCCTGGTGATAGGACAAGCTTCACATTCCCTTTGAGTCCCTGTCCCTTCATGTGGTGCTCAGGATGATGGCTCTGTATAAGGTACGCAGGGCCCACACCCTTCTCCATGTGAGTTTGTGGTTAGGGGTCACATCTCATTTCTGTCCTTGTTCTCCCGGCAATGTGGCAACAAGACAGAAGGCAGCATTTGAGGGCAAGGACTGTCCTGGAGTGTACTTGGAGACAGGGCCCTGTAGAGAATTTGGGGTTTCTGAAATTTGCTTTTGTTAAGATCTAGTGATTCCCTCCACGTAGCAATCCATCCCTCAAGGAAGCAAAGGTGATCCAGCAGCTGTTGATGACTAGACATGACCCATGAGGTGCTGCTTTGCAGCGCAGACGGGTAACTAAATACAGCCAGCTTTCCATTTACGTGGGTTCCACATTCGTGGATCTAAATTTTTTTTAACTTGTGATTAGCATGCATTTGATTTTTATTAGATGTTTCTGAAATTAAGTATTGATATAATTAGTACACATTGGTGTTTTTGAAGTGTCTTGTATAATA